GTTCCATATATATGTGTTAGCATACGGTGTTTGTTTTTCTCTTTCTGACTTACTGCACTCTGTATGACAGACTCTAGGTCCATCCCCCTCACTACAAATAACTCAATTTCGTTTCTTTTTATGGCTGAGTAATATCCATTGCATATATGTGCCACATCTTCTTTATCCATTCATCTGTCGATGGACACTTAGGTTGCTTCCATGTCCTGGCTATTGTAAATAGTGCTGCAATGAACATTGTGGTACATGACTCTTTTTGAAGTATGTTTTTTTCAGGGTATATGCCCAGTAGTGGGATTCCTGGGTCGTATGGTAGTTCTATTTTTAGTGTTTTAAGGAACCTCCATACTGTTCTCCATAGTGGCTGTCTCCATAGTGGCTCCATACTGTTCTCCATAGTGGCTGTATCAATTTACATTCCCACCAGCAGTGCAAGAGGGTTCCCTTTTCTCCACACCCTCTCCACCATTTATTGTTTCTAGATTTTTTGATGATGGCCATTCTGACTGGTGTGAGGTGATACCTCATTGTAGTTTTGATTTGCATTTCTCTAATGATTAGTGATGTTGAGCATCCTTTCATGTGTTTGTTGGCAATCTGTATATCTTCTTTGGAGAAATGTCTATTCAGGTCTTCTGCCCAGTTTTGGATTGGGTTGTTTGTTTTTTTTTAATATTGAGCTGCATGAGCTGCTTGTAAATTTTGGAGATTTAATACTTTGTCAGTTGCTTCAATTGCAAATATTTTCTCCCATTCTGAGGGTTGCCTTTTCATCTTCTTTCTGGTTTCCTTTGCTGTGCAAAACCTTTTAAGCTTCATTAGGTCCCATTTGTTTATTTTTGTTTTTATTTCCATTCCTCTAGGAGGTGGGTCAAAAAGGATCTTGCTGTGATTTATGTCATAGAGTGTTCTGCCTGTATTTTCCTCTAAGAGTTTGATAGTGTCTGGCCTTACATTTAGGTCTTTAATCTATTTTGAGTTTATTTTTGTGTATGGTGTTAGGGAGTGTTCTAATTTCATTCTTTTACATATAGCTGTCCAATTTTCCCAGCACCACTTATTGAAGAGGCTGTCTTTTCTCCATTGTATATTCTTGCCTCCTTTATCAAAAATAAAGGACCATATGTGCGTGGGTTTATCTCTGGGCTTTCTATCCTGTTCCATTGATCTATATTTCTATTTTTGTGCCAGTACCATACTGCTTAGATTACTGTAACTTTGTAGTAGAGTCTGAAGTCAGGGAGCCTGATTCCTCCAGCTCCGTTTTTCTTTCTCAAGATCGCTTTGGCTATTTGGGGTCTTTTGTATTTCCATACAAATTGTGAAATTTTTTGTTCTAGTTCTGTGAAAAATGCCATTGGTAGTTTGATAGGGATTGCATTGAATCTGTAGATTGCTTTGGGTAGTATCATCATTTTCACAATGTTGATCCTTCCAATCCAAGAACATGGTATATCTCTCCACCTGTTTGTATCATCTTTAATTTCTTTCATCAGTGTCTTATAGTTTTCTGCATACAGGTCTTTCCTCTCCTTAGGTAGGTTTATTCCTAGGTATTTTATTCTTTTTGTTGCAGTGGTAAATGGCAGTGTTTCCTTAATTTCCCTTTCAGATTTTTCATCATTAATGTATAGGAATGCAGGAGATTTCTGTGCATTAATTTTGTATCCTGCTACTTTACCAAATTCATTGGTTAGCTCTAGTAGTTTTCTGGTAGCATCTTTAGGATTCTCTGTGTATAGTGTCATGTCATCTGCAAACAGTGACAGTTTTACTTCTTCTTTTCCAATTTGGATTCCTTTTATTTCTTTTTCTTCTCTGATTGCTGTGGCTAAAACTTCCAAAGCTATGTTGTATAATAGCAGTGAGAATGGGCAATGTTGTCTTGTTCCTGATCTTAGTGGAAAATGGTTTCAGGTTTTCCACCATTGAGAACGATGTTGACTGTGGGTTTGTCATATATGGCCTTCATTATGTTGAGGTAAGTTCCCTCTATGCCTGCTCTCTGGAGGGTTTTTTATGATAAATGGGTGTTGAATTTTGTCAAAAGCTTTTTCTGCATGTATTGATATTATCGTATGGTTTTTATCCTTCATTTTGTTAATTTGGTGTATCACATTGGTTGATTTGCATATATTGAAGAATCCTTGCATTCCTGGGATAAATCCCACTTGATCATGGTGTATGATCTTTTTAATGTGCTGTTGGATTCTGTTTGCTAGTATTTTGTTGAGGATTTCTGCATCTATGTTCATCAGTGATATTGGCCTGTAGTTTTCTTTTTTGTGACATCTTTGTCTGGTTAGTTCCTTTACTCTTAACATGACTTCTTCCACTGGCATCCAATGATGAAGAGTAAAATGCAATTCTACTTTATTTTGCGCAAAGATCACTGAAAGTAACCCCACCCTCATTTAGGCTTATGTGCTCAATGCCCATAAAGGACTTTTGGTTAAGCCTTTGATCTAGAGAATATCCTTCCCATCAAGTTCAATAAAGCCCACTTTAACTCACCAAAACCAGTCAAATTGATTATCTAACTGGTATCCCAGCTTCAGGAAATATTTTTCCTAGAAGAATGCCATTTTTACAGTTATACTTCTAGCTTGGGTCTCAAACACTTCTCACCATACTCCTACTAGATTATCTCAGCTGAAGCTGCTGGTTGTGGTAAAGGATAATGTGGAAAATACTCTATTCAGTGGCAAGCAGAAGAAGAACCTGGGATACCCAATGGACTTTAGAAACCTCAAGGAATTAAAGCTTTGAGACTTCGTCATATTTGATCATTTTCTGTACCCCAGCTCTTCCAGGGCTTTCCTCAGAAATCTCATGTTTAATGAATTCCCTCTAACTTAAAGATTCCTGGTTGGCTTTGAGGTTTCTGGCCATGGCCCCATCACCTGCGTGATCAGCAACTCCATGTACTGCCTTTTTGATTACTATGTGATCTGGAGAGGTGGAGGTTTCTGCTTTCTGCTTCCCTGTTCTATTCTCAGCGTCCTACCTCTCTGCTAAACTTGATCTCTCTAGCTATCCTAGAGTTAGTCTCTAATAAAGAAGGGTTAATCTCTAATAAAGAAGAGTTAGTCTCTAGTCTGTCTCCTTTTCAATCCATCAGCATAAATTCCTCTTTTTTCTCATCAAAGGAATGCGCCCAATAAGACTTTTATTCTTTTACCACCAGGTACCAGGCTTAGCATTAGCCTACTCTGACATGAGGAGAGTGCTGTATTATCCTTGTTTCCTTTCCTCCCATATAAGTTATTAGATCATTTTTACCATCTAGCTCGTGGTGCTAAACGTCTTAAACCTAGATCAGAGAAATCAAGGATGAACCCAAAGACTGAAGGAATAAAACTCATTGATACTTTATTAATTAGGAAGAGTGATATCCACCAAATTACACATCTGAGCAAGTTTCCTTTCTATTTCTCACTAAGAATCACTCAAAACAGTGGTAATATTCAGCACCCGACATGAGGAGAGTAATGCAGTATGTCTGAGAAGTCCTGAGCAATCAAGCTTCTTTCTCTTCAAAAGACCTTGTCAGGGCTTCCCTGGTGGCGCAGTGGTTGAGAGTCCGCCTGCCAATGCAGGGAACGCGGGTTCGTGCCCCGATCCAGGAGGATCCCACATGGCGCAGAGCGGCTGGGCCCGTGAGCCATGGCCGCTGAGCCTGCGCGTCCGGAGCCTGTGCTCCGCAACGGGAGAGGCCACAGCGGTGAGAGGCCCGCGTACCGCAAAAAAAAAAAGACCTTGTCAGAAACAACATATGCTATTATATAACAATAATTCTGCAAATCAGCAAGCCATGTCATATATGCCTAAAGACCAGGTTCTAGACCTTGAAATTCTGTGCTAGCAATTTTAAAATTTCAGTTTACTTGAGTCTGTATCATAACACGTAGACATGTCCCATTCATCTTATTTTAGAGACTTTCCATGGGCAGTCCTGGCCAGAGTCCCCCACAGTAATCCTGGGTGTAGAGCTGAGATTTGAAGGTACAGAAATGGGAGAAGTTGCTTTGGGTAAGAATGTTGAGTGAGGAGAGCAGATATCCGAGGCCTGAGATCTAAGTTATTCTAATATTTAAAGGTTAGGAAGAAGGATAAGGGTAGGTTTCTTAAGGTTCATTGTTAAAGGGTGGACAGAGAATAGTAGTAGAATCAGGAACATTTCAGGAACGGAGCATCAAATTTATTGAATGTCTCTGAGAGTTCAAGTACAAACAGTTAAAAAGCACCTATTGGATTTGTCAACATGAAATCCTAAAGGAACTTAGCAAAAGTCTCAGTAGTATGGGGGAGGCAAGAGACAAAGTAGAGCTGGGTTGATGGGGAAATGGGCTGCAAAGAAGTAGAGATCGTATATACAGGTAATATTTTCCAGAAGCTTTTCAGTAAAGGAGAGTTGAAGCAATCCAATCAAGAATGGAAGTTGGACATTGTCAATCAAAATAATAGTAATAACTAATATAATTTGAGTGCTATGTTAAGCATTTTATATGTGTTTCAATTTAATCCACAAATCAACCCTATGTAGTACATACTATTACTACCTCCATTTACCTATGAATAAATAGAAACACAGAGATTAAGTAGCATCTCTAAGGTCCATTGCTGGGCCTTAGAGCTGGGATTTCATTGCAGGCAGTTCAGTTCAGTGCTTTCATTGTTAAATCCCTACACTATTCCATCTTACCATATGATAATGGGCATATTTCAAAAGTCCAGAGTTTCTGCTATGGCTTTGCTACCTAGGTTCTAGATGAATTTCACAACTCACTCAGTTTTTCTGGGCATGTTGTCAGCATGTACAACACACTTATTGATGGATGTATGGAAAAGAGGAAAAACTGTACAAACACATTCCTGTTTCACAACACCTCCATCAGTCCTGAATAGGTTTGAAACTTAAGAACATATTGTCCATGCCTCAAAAGGAACAAATAGATATTTCAAGAATTCTGAAGACTACTCTTTTTTCTGTCCCTCAGAAGGCAAGGAAAATTACAGCTTCACATAAAGGAAGTGACTAATAGAGACAGAGCGTTCCAAGGGGATCTGGCGGAAAGCACTTAAAGTCAGACATGAGGAAGTTCCTGAAAAGAACCTTGAGAAGCAACTGCTCTGATCAAGAGGAGGAAAAAGGACATAATTGGGGTCCCCTGGGCTGAAGTGATGTGATCCTGGGATGCAGTGTGGCAGGAAGATGGAGAGCTCAGGGGTCTTCTTAAAGGACACTGTGAGTGCCTCTGGAGGGAAGTGTGGCCGTGTGGGTCCCTCTTAGTGAGGACATTGGGTCCTCTGTTTGGGATTCTGAAAGCATTCAGGTCCCGTTGCTGTAGACAGTATTCTAGCCTGGAAAAACTACTGTGATGTATATAGTGGGATATGCTGTTTTTATTTAATTTTAAGAATGAAATATCACTTGTTCCATGATGGCAATAATGTTCTAGCCTTTGCAGTTCTACATCACAGATATCTTGCCTCCAATCCTGTCCTGTACTTATAGTCCTATGGGATAAAGCCAAGAATTCATAATATAACATGCTATGAAACTTAGATACTTGATGAACGAATATGCAATCTTTGTAATGTGGCTTCTGCCTACATTTTCAGCCTCTCCATTCACCACCCCTTCTAAGTACACACCTCCAAATATGCACATGTACTAGAAGTTTCCACGGCTTTTTCATCTCTCTGATTTGTATGTTGCCTTTGCGTATTTTTCCCTATTGTCTGCTTAGCAAATTTTCACTCATCCAATGAAACGCAACTTATACATCTCAGCTTTCTAAGAGACCCTCAGGGGTTTCTTCCACTATTCTCTCTCCACACAATTCTATATGTTCCTGTCAGGACATTTCTATTGAGGTCAGGGATTATACCACATTCATCTCTGTAGCACAATGGCTGAGGAAAATATCTAGGATATAATGAGTAACCAGTATATGTTGGCTCAATAACTACCTTATAAAGGGTGAATCCAGGAACAGAATTCAAAGTCTCTTGGTGTACCTTGGTCCTACTATGTTCAGAGCAGCACTTTAGGACCAAGGGGTGTTTTATTCAGGGTCCTTATGGGAAAGAGATGGCACATGCAGATGAGATGACTGAGAAGCCTTGAAAAGGGAAATTTTACAAAGGTGTAGACAGAGTCAAGGGAAACCACCAAGAGGTGATGAAACATGTAGGGTAGTAACAGCAGGACCTATAGGACCAATGTGAGAAATGGGTTACCAGACCTGGAGAGAGCTCATGGGAGAGCCACCCAAGAGGATCTGTGGCCTTAGAGGTAGGAAAGCAACCTGCTGCCAGGTAGGGAGAGAAACCAACAGATCATTATCTGACTAGCATCTCCTACTGCTTCCTGTTAACCCACAAGTGCTTCCCATTGGCCAATCCCAACCAGAAACCAGAGAGTAAAGGATCCAGTTGTTGTAGGCTAAAAAATTCAACCTCCCCAGCCTCTAAACATGGTGGAGCCAGGTAAAGATGTAGTTGAAGGCCGAACAAAAATATCTAGCACAAAGACCGGAGTCCAAGCTTTCTTCTTCAGCAAGCAGAGGCTGACGATGCCTATTAGGGATTTTAGGAACGAGGATAAGATAAGGAAGTTGGAAGATCACTGAAATTAGAAAGGCAGCAAGCAGTGGACAGCCAGGATTAATACAGACAGTCCTAATAAAGCATCAGAATAGAGAGATAGGCAGAATGGTGGATACAATTTGTGAGGCAATGGGACATGAACCCAGGATTGAACAGGAAATTTTCAATGAAAATTAGAAGGCGGGGCCAGGAGACACTCTCTAAAATAATAGAGTTCATTGTAGGGACTTTTCACAAAATGTTTACAGATTTATTCACAGGAGAAGAAGGAGCTACTAAGTCTACAGAGCTGGGTTTGGCATATGCAAAGGGGACTAATGTATGAGTCCTAACTTTAGGAGCTTTCTAAATTGCCAACGCAAAAGGTTCAGATGGAATTCAAGTGTGCCGTCCACCCCTTGGCATATCCTGGCTTCTCAGGTCTTGGAGGACACTCTTATGATCCCCAATCCTTGAGAACTATTTTTTTAAAATTCCACAAGGCCCTGAAACTCTTTGCTGTCATGGCCATCGTGCTTATAGAATGAAAATGTATATATACAGCTATATGTTTAAATTCTTCAATAAGTTCGTTATCATGAGTCTATTTTAATTCTAATTAAAACTCAACACACAGGTCGACTCAAAATTTTATTCTCAATCACAGTCAGCTCAATCAAGCAAAAGTCATTTGTGCAGGTAGTATGGTTACTCTAGAAATGTGTTTCCCCGTTCCCTCTGCACCACCACTTCTGGGCTTATAGCTCTCCCTTTGTACTTCTTTGGGCCAGAATATTTTAATAGCAAGAAAGAGAAACTCAACTCAGACTAACTGAAGTAGGGAAGGAAAGTGGGAAACATAGGGCTACAGCTGGATTGTGCTACAGCTGCCTTCTCTGGGTTCTCCTTGTCTTTGTCTCCTTACAGACTCTCATCCCATGATGGAATGCTGGTCACTTGTAAGCCTCATGTTGATTCTCATTCTTCCTTTTCACTGACTTCAAGGAAAATACAGTGTGTCTTGCTGACTGGGACACAATGTCCTGTTGTTGTCCCCAAGTAGCTCGGTTTGGTCTTATACCCTCCACTATGGCAGAAGAATAGGTGGGATGGGGCATGAGTAAGTAACAATTCCATTAACTCATGGAATCTCTTTCTGTGTGTCTCTCTTTTTTTCTTTCTGTATTTTGATTTATCTATCTACCTATCTACCTTGAAATACATCTATCTTTGTATGGAGTAATAATATTTTGAATTATGTTGATTTGAATTGGACTGAAGGGCTGAATAGCAGAAAGGAAAAGAAATGAAAAGGGATAAAGGACATAGCTGTGCTATTACTCCACCTTCATTTCACCTGGGAGACATCATACATCACAATAAACCCCAATTCCTTGTAAGGAACATTCATCCTTAAAAGTCCTAGACCTGAATTTTGTTCTTCTACCCAGTGACTTAAGACCAGTGGGATTTTAGATATAAATATCTAAAGGAGGCACCAATATCCATCCTGCTAAATTGTAAAATGCCTCCTACACCCCTTCTCTCCTTCTGTTCCCTCTCACCTCCCAGTTTCTCAGTTAACTAAGGCAGGCAGAATTGTCTCTGCCAAGTGATTCAGCCCAGGGAAGCTGAAGTTTGCCAATGCCGCAAAAATACATTTATTTGCAGTTCCATAGCTCATCTCAAAAATTCATCTAAATGTCGCAATCTCATCTACAATATAGTGTGTTTATTTTAATATAAAATAATGTGCCTACCGGCTGTTTCAGGAAAACTGGCGGCAGAGAAAAGCAGACCGCATTTCTCCTTTCCACCGTACCTTAGTGGCATACTGCTTGGAATACCTCAGTCCAATAAGCAAGACTGTGCTACTGTCTCACATGGAAACCAAAGTTGGGTAAGACCACGGGGATATGATTGCCAGCTGGAAATCCGTCCGATTGTGCAGTATCACTTTCACATTTACTGAAATTTTAGTTGCTCTGAGTGTTTTGACAATTACTAGACATTTCCCAGATGAGGAACTAGCAATTATTGCAACGACCATGAGGTATTTCAAGTTGTTATAATGTTCATGGTGATCTTATTATCTATTTATTTTTTTTATCAAGTTGACATTTTTGAGGTGAAAAAGGCTCTTTCTATGATTTAAAGCAGCGTATGGCTATTAAATTGACACTTTATACCTGGCAATTTGACAGGGCCATCAGCCAATTGAAGAATCTAAAATTGTTCAGGCTGCAAGAATAAATGAATGTGTGCCCTTTTATTCTGCTGACCTACCACTCTCGTTCTACTCCTAGGGGGAATGTATTTGACCATTGTACTTTACCACCCTTGGTTCTATCTGCAAGGAAGTTCCTCCTGGTTATTATTCTCCTTGGCCATATCTGATGTGGATCTTAGAGACCACGCCTTCTTTGGGGGTTAAATAGCCTTTGAAGCTTGACTCTTTTCCTCAAAACTTTGGGACCTATGGATTGTTTTAGGTCTCATCCAGTCAAATGATTTTTTTTAAGCCAGAGTTGTGTTTTCTTTAACAATGCAATTCCTTAAAAAATTAGTAGGCTTCTGATCTTGCTTTAGGTTCCATCAGCAACCACATGCAAAATTCTTTATAGGAAGAATTTTCAAGCCTGATGTATTTCTCTGCTTCCTTGCTCTGTGCCTGTCCCATCCCCTCTCTTTGAGGCTCTCTGGAACTGTGTTTGGGAAGTCTACAGTCTTCATCTGTCTTTGCTCAGATTACTTTATTCATCTCAGAAGTTTTATTAGACCTTTTCCTTGAATGTCTTCTGACATCTCATCTTCTTATTTATTTGGCATCTTCTCACATAGCAAGACCCCAATTTCTGCACTCTACTCTCTTTCAATTCTATTTATTACTGACCAGGTTTTTTTTCCAATTTTTTTTGGTAATAACCTTGCCAAAGGCAGCCAATAATAGCCAATAGACACTAGTGGTCTTTTATTCATCCATTTCTCCTAAAACTACAAGTTAAATGTTCCTATTCTGTCTCCCGCATTACTAAAAGCAACAGTTATTTCCAGTTGCTCTTCCACAGTATTAAAAGAATAGCTAGTTTCTCATATATCCTAGCCTTTGATATGGACCTTCTTGATGCCTAACAATGAAACCAATGTCATATAATTGATTTTAAAGCAATCTGATTCAAAATACCAATTTCTTTATTAGTCAGGATACATCAAGGTATGTGCAAGTAAATGTACTCTCAAATCATAGTGGTTTGATGTAATAAATGTTTCTTTCTCATTCATATTATCATTGAAAACAGATTGGGGAGTCCGTCTCCATCTCTTGGTGGTCCCATGTGGAACCCCTGGCTTCCTAGTTGCCAAATGAGAGAGATCTGGAGGACCTCAAAGGATGATCTTAAAGGCCAAGCCTGGAAGGAAGTTTACATCATTATTGCCTACATTCTTCTGGCCAGAACTCAGTCATTGGGACTTATCTAGTTTCAGGGCAATCGAGGAAATGTAGCCTTTCTGTGTGATCTGGAAGAGGAAAATGTAGTAAACACATACCATTTTCTCTGCTACCTGCCACTACAAACTTGTAGTTAAGTGTAATGATTCTGATCTTACCATATAATGGCCATGGGACATTGAGCAAGTTACTTAACCTCTGTGTGCTTCAGTTTCTTCCCCTGTAAAGTGGGGTTCATGGAAGGGTAACTACATCAGACGGTCATAGGTTTATATATATATATATAAAGTAATTAGAAAAAGCCTGGCATACAGTAAGTGCTATGTAAGGTTATATAGCAAGTTGTTGAAATGCCAGTAGAGAGCACACCAGGATAATTAGCAAATGAGCCATTTAATTTATATTTTTAATACATTTATTTATTTATTTATCTTTGGCTGTGTTGGGTCTTCGTTGCTGCGTGCAGGCTTTCTCTAGTTGCGGCGAGCAGGGGCTACTCTTCATTGCGGTGGCTTATTTTGTTGCAGAGCACGGGCTCTAGGCGGGGGCTTCAGTAGTTGTGGCTCACAGGCTGCAGAGCACAAGCGCAGTAGTTGTGGCGCACAGGCTTAGTTGCTCCACGGCATGTGGGATCTTCCAGGATGAGGGATCGAACCTGTGTCTCCTGCATTGGCAGGGGGATTCTTAACCACTGTGCCACCAGGGAAGTCCCCGCAAATGAGCCATTTTATAATAAGTCTATTTGACTGGAAAGACAGATATTTAACAACCCCAGCCCAAGCTGAGGCTCCGCCTTTGATCGGATCCGAGGGAGAGGACTGGGGTTGGCGGCGTGAACACAACCTGAAGGGGGCTAGTGCGCCACAGCTAGCCGGGAGGGAGTCCGGGAAAAGGTCTGGAACTGCTGAAGAGGCAAGAGACTTTTTCTTGCCTCTGTTTCCTGGTGTGCGAGGAGAGGGGATTAACAGCGCCTTTTAAAGGAGCTCCAGAGACGGGCGCAAGCCGCGGCTATCAGCGCGGACCCCAGAGTCGGGCCTGGGATGCTAAGGCTGCTGCTGCCGCCAGCAAGAAGCCTGTGTGCGAGCACAGGTCACTATCCACACCCCCGTTCCAGGGAGCCTGTGCAGCCCGCCACTGCCAGGGTCCCGTGATCCAGGGACAACTTCCCCGGGAGAACGCACGGCACGCCTCAGGCTGGTGCAACGTCACGCGGGCCTCTGACACCGCAGGCTCACCCCGCATCCGTACCCCTCCCTCCCCATGGCCTGAGTGAGCCAGAGACCCCGAATCATCTGCTCCTTTAACCCAGTCCTGTCTGATCGTGAACAGACGCCCTCAGGCGACCTACATGCAGAGGCGGGGCCAAATCCAAAGCTGAACCCCGGGAGCTGTGCGAGCAAAGAAGAGAAAGGGAAATCTCTCCCAGCAGCCTCAGGAGCAGCGGATTAAATCTCCACAATCAACTTGATGCACCCTGCATCTGTGGAATATCTGAATAGACAACGAATCATCCCAAAATTGAGGAGGTGGACTTTGGGAGCAAAGATATATATATTTTTTTCCTTTTTCTCTTTCTGTGAGTGTGTATGTGTATGCTTCTGTGTGTGATTTTGTCTGTATAGCTTTGCTTGCTTTTACTATTTGTCCTAGGGTCCTGTCTGTTCTTTTTTTTTTTTTTTAGTATAGTTTTCTGCTTCTTATCATTGGCAGATTTGTTTTTTGGTTTGGTTGTTCTTTCTTTATTTCTTTTTTTTAATTAATTAAAAATTTTTAAAATAATTTTTTTTATTTTAATAACTTTCTTATTTTATTTTATTTTATCTTTTTCTTTTTTTCTTTCTTTTTTTTTTTTTCAGTACGCGGGCCTCTCACTGTTGTGGCCTCTCCCGTTGCGGAGCACAGGCTCTGGACGCACAGGCTCAGCGGCCATGGCTCACAGGCCCAGCCGCTCCGCGGCATGTGGGATCTTCCTGGACTGGGGCACGAACCCTCATCCCCTGCATTAGCAGGCGGACTCTCAACCACTGAGCCACCAGGGAACCCCATCTTTTTCTTTCTTTCTCCCTTTTTTTCTCCCTTTTATTCTGAGCCGTGTGGAGGACAGGATCTTGGTGCTCCAGCCAGGTGTCAGGGCTGTGCCTCTGAGGTGGAAGAGCCAAGTCCAGGACATTGGTCCACCAGAGACCTCCCAGCTCCAGGTAATATCAAACGGCAAAAATCGCCCAAAGATCTCCACCTCAATGCCAAGACCCAGCTCCACTCAACAACCAGCAAGCTACAGTGCTGGACATCCCATGCCAAACAACTAGCAAGACAGGAACACAATCCCACCCATTAGCAGAGAGGCTGCCTAAAATCATAATAAGGTCACAGACACCCCAAAGCACACCACAAGACGTGGACCTGCCCACCAGAAAGACAAGATCCAGCCTCATCCACCAGAACACAGGCACTTGTCTCCTCCACCAGG